CAATAACACCAACCCCATCCCCCAGTATTCAACCAAGACCTAGTGAAGACACGCCTGGAGTATATGCTATATCATATATCCTACTCAATTCAAGGATTCCCCAGCATCTCCATGCAGTTCCTTTTCCAGTATTTCCAGACCGGAAGAAGATTCCGGTCCCGACGTTGTTGATGTTGTTTCCGGCATTCGTGCCGGAATGCAATAACACCAACCCCATCCTTCAACCAAGACCGATTGAAGAACAAGCCTGGAGTATATGCTGCATCATGTATCTTACTCAATTTAGATTCCCCAGCATCTCCAAGCAGCTCCTTTTCCAGTATTTTACGGACCGGAAGAAGATTCCAGCCACGACGTGGTTGTTGTTGTTTCCAGCTGAGTCCCTCAGCTGGATCCATCCCCAGTTCCCAAGGACCGGAAGCTCCGGTGCTCCCATTCAAACCCAGTTGAGTGCAATTGACTCAGCTAGATCCATCCCCAGTTCTCAAAGGCTGGAAGCCCCAACAGTGCTTCCGGTCATGAATGTTGTTGGTTCCGACACTCCTGCCGGAAAGCAACAACACCAACCCCAGTCCCCAGTATTCAATCCTTCCGGCATTTGTGCCAGAATGAAATCACTTTAAACCCAGTTCCTCCAGTTGAGCACAGTTTGCCTCAGCTGGATCCAACCCAGTTCTCAAGGACCGGAAGCCCCAGTGCTTTCCGGTCACGATTGCTGTTGTTTCCGACCTCTGTGCCGGAAAGCAACAGCACCAACCCCAGTATTTCCCCATTCAACCAAGACCCGGTGAAAGAAGTGTGATGTTTCCTTTTTTTTTTTTTTTTTTTTTTGGCTTTTCCTTTTCTTTTTGATTTTTTCTTTTTGACTACGTGTCCTTGCACACTGAGACTAGCCAGTGTGCTTGACACCCATTTTGTTGATCACTGCATGAGATGGCTTGCCTACAGGTTGGGAATTGATACACCCTAACCTGAGGGCTTGGCATGTGAACCAACATCTCCCTGATCACTGCGTGCGATAACTTGCCTACGGGTTGGGATTGGTAGCCCCATCCTACGGGCTTGGCAGTGTGACCCTCATGCTGTTTTATGTCCTCTGAGTCGAGCCCTGGGCCTTGATTGGCCTATCAGTGTGCATAAAACTTGGTCGCTCCTCCAYAAACACTCCTCGGAGGGAGGCGCCGCCCCTCGGTGCAGCTAGAAGCGTTCTTCTCCTTAGTCAGGTGAAGCTATGGTTCTGGCCTTCCTAGTGCCTCTTCTAGTTCACGAGGTTAAATATAATATTAAGTTTTTTTTTTTTTAATTCTAGCTCTAGTTCTAGCTCTAGTTCTAGCTCTAGTTTTACTAGCTCTAGTTTTACTAGCTCTAGTTCTACTACTAGTACTAGTAGCTGTAACCGTAACCGTATCCGTAACTCCATGGAAGGGGTTGTATATCCTACTACAATTGCTACTT